TCAAAAAAATGGTGAAGAAATCAGAAATCAGTAATCAGAAATTATTATAGTCTTCGACTAACTAAAATATTGTCAATCAGTTGATTGTCAGTATTAGATTCATATCAATCAGGTTATTGATTATAGGAATATTGACAAGAGAAATAAGACTTTGGGCTTTCAAGTTTATTCTTTATTATAGTATTTACCAGATTTGGCTTTTAAAAAACTGACAGTAACATATATATAGAGATAAAATTAGCTCTATTGATTAATCAGTTTTATTATACTGAATATACAAGCCAACTAAGCTGTTTGCATTACTACATATATATTACTGATCAGGTTTTTTTATAAGCTGAATCTAGTAAAGAATAAATAATAAACTTAAAAACTTGAAGTCTCATTTTTTCAAAAAACTCATATAGTGTTTTAGTTTACTAAAAAATTTAGTCAACTAATCTATTATTGATTTTTATCCTTAGGTCGGGGTCGAAGTCGAAGCCAAAATCATAATAGAACAACTAAAAAAAATGAAAGTATAAATGTAGACATTAATCAAATTGAGTGTTTACCACCAGCAAGTACAGAAAATCTTATCTAAAGAGTCCGTATAGCTATATCTTTTCTTAGACAAACTATATGAAATATCAAATAAGGCATCTTTAGTTGTGACGATTTTAGATCCTCGAATAAAAAATTTTTCTTTTGTAAATAGTCCTGACCGCATACAACTATGAACACAAGCCGAGTTTCTTTTAAAAAACTTATATACTCAACTTAGGCAAGATTCAGCAACTGGTCAAAATATCGAAGAGCATATTTTAACTGCAGTAAATTTAAATAATAACAATAATGAGAATATATTTGCTAAAATGTGGGCTGATGATCAGATGCCAGTAAAAGATGAAGTCACTCATTATTTATGCTATTCTGATGAACCAAGAAATCTTGATCCTTTGATTTGGTGACAAGAGCATCAGATAAGTTATCCCCTTTTATCACAATTAGCACGTAAATATCTTTCGATACCTGCTACATCCGTTTCTAGTGAATGACTCTTTTCTGATGCTGACAACTATATTTTTGCAAGAAGAACACAATTAGCATCTAGTTTGGTTAATAGTATCTTATTTTTAAAATGTAATACTATATACTTTCCTATGTTTTCACCTTTAGAGACTGATGAATAGTTTGTTTTTTTTTTTGCTTGAATTTAATAGTTAATCTACAATAAATAAAATATATAAATTGTAAAATAAATAATTCAGCAA